AAGAGAGAAAGTCATTCCAGTTTGGAACGACACGAGGTTGATTAAATGATGACAGAATTTAATAGCAGTAAATTTACTTTACGGCATCTAAAGCTCAGAATCAGTGCTTTACTGTCAAGTGCATTTCTATGTGACAAAAATGTAATATTACGTTTTTAACCTGCATTCCCAGTAAATGCAATAACATCTATCATTATTTGTTTCTGTCCTATTTAATTTAATAATTCCAAGTTAAGGCCCTAACCCCAGCAAAATTTTCATGGGTGTACTCATGGGCCGATGGGCTGGATTTGTCTATGGATTTGTAGTGCACTACAACACTGTACGTATAAATCTCCATAACTTGTATTAAAAGATATGTAAAAAAATATATGAAACCATATGTTTAATATATTTGTATAATTTAGCAATTCATATACATAATATAATATATTATGAGACAGACATTATAAACATACCAGTATGTAATGTATTTTACATATAGATGTTGTCAAGATTCTGTCACTTCAGTTTTATCCTTGGTTTGGTGACAGAGCTCTGACACTCCTATTGTCTTGTCTTCATGTGAGCATGCGGTTTCGAGTTCGCTCAGGCCATACTCCCTTCTGTCCGTGTTAGTAGCTTAGTACGGAGCCTGGGAAGTAACCTGTAGAAGGAAAAAAAGAAGAAAAAAAAAACAACACCGGCAAATCTTTGACCACAGTTTAGCATTTCGTCCCCTCAGTTTATAAACCGTACTCACAGATTATTAAACTGTTCCCTCGGTTTAAGAAATCGCGCCCACGGATTACTAAACCGTACCCACGAATTTCCAACCTGTGCACTCAAATTTGAAAGCCGTACCTTCGGTTTTTTAATCCATACCCACAAATTACCCAATGAATTATGAAAGCATAGCTGGTAGCTTCATTATTTTAGTCAAAAGGGCAAAAAAATCATAGATACAATCAATATTAATATGATATATGAGTTATTACCTCAGAATCAGCTTGGGACCATGGCATTAAATTTGTTGACACTGGCCAATAAAAAAGCTTTTAATGAAACTTTACCTTCAGGGCATGGTCCCAATGACACATACCGAGTTTCGTAATGATACATTAATGCGTTTGTAAAATACATTATTTCAGGACAAAATTCAAAATGGCCATTGCCTAAAATAGCCAAAATGGGAAATTCAACTCAGGATTCTGCACTGAATCAAAACTGTTTTATGATTTTTAGGCAAACCGTTCAGAAGTTATAAACAAAAATAGCCATTTTTCATATCTCTTGACCAGTTGGTGGCGCTGTGCCAAAACGCAGCATGAAGCCTCAGGTTATGCTTGCGATGACATGTACCAAATTTGGTCTGTAAACGCTAAACTGTTGCAGAGATATAGCCTTGCGTCCAATTTGGCTTGATCTTCGTCAAATTCTTCCGCACGTTATTTGAGAACAGTTGGGTTTATAAAAAAACTTTTGATAACTTTTTGCTAGTATGTTTTTTTTTTAGAAAGTTCAAAATGGCAGAAATATTTGTATGACGGAAAATTACATATGATGCAATTGAATCAAGGAATCAGAGGAAAAATCATTTTGGGTTGCACTTTATTTTACAGTACATGCACTTACAGTGTACTTCCCTAAGATAGTACTGGTTAATATAAGGTAACTACGTACATGGGTTAAGGTTAGGTTTAGGGGTAGGTTCAGAGTTAGTAACTAGTTATCATAGTAATTACAATAACTGGGTAATAAGGACATAGTATGTACATGGGGAACAGGACTGTAAGATAAATGGTTGTCCTGTTTCGCATGAACATACTATGTACTTATTGTAGTAATGACACTATCTAGGTACTAACCCTGAACATATACCTAAACCTAAACCTTACACTACTCAGTATGGTAACACTTTATTTTATAGTTGTTACACGTTACATCATGTAGTTTCTATTGTAATTACTATAAATTATGCATTTATAATTATGCAATTACATGCTACCTAATCCTAACCCTATAGTAAGTACACGTAGTTAATTAATATTATTCCGTACTTAAATGTTACACTGTAACAAGGAAACCTTAAACTAAAGTGTGACCCTCAGTACTTTTGTGGGTAAGTACACTGTAAGTACATTGAAAGTGCAAATACTGTAAAATAAAGTGCAACCGAATAAAGTGCTACGGAACTTTGTTTCTAGCCCTTACGGTTCAGAAGTTGTTAGCATAACTGCAAGTAAAACTTAGGACAGTTGGTGGCGCTAGAGGGATTGAGTTAGAGATTTTTACCATACAGTTCTATGGGGTCCCATAGACTAAAAAGAAGAAGAAGACTATCACACTTTTAGTGCTTGGCCCCTAATAATAATAATAATGATGATGATAGGTGCCAAATTATGTTTCTGCCTGCCAGCCCATGTTCCATACAATTAATTCTAGGCTACTTGTTTGAATTAATTTCTCCATGGTACTGTCTTTTTCTCTGTGCGATGGTGCGCTTGATGAATGAATTACACAAAAGTTATTTGTGTCTTGCGAAAGCAAATACATTACCAACCAAACAAAAAAAACTGTTGCACTCTCGCCAGTTAATTACTTAAAATGCTATTTATTATTGTGCAAAAAACAGAAAGCACAAGCTTTTGTCTCATGCTATTATGTTGTAATGTTAAACATAACAGTGAAATTGTGTGTATTATGACCTGCCGGGACCCGATGTGAGATCCACCAATCAGAGAGGCTCCCGAATCTCAATCGACTTTTTGATTGGTTACGATGGAGAATATGTTTTTGGCCGAGCACCCTCAGGATAGGTGCTAATGATTATTATTAATAATAAATCCTATGGTGTTGAATAATGAATGGAGGCTTATGCTCCTTGGCCGACTGAAGGTTGTCATGGCTTGATGTATTTTGAATTGATGTTTGCCAAAAGGCTAGTAAAAGCGCTGGCGTAAAATGCATTTTGTATTGAAAGTACTCCAACCCCTGATGTCTGCTCTCTAATCACTTTCGCGTTACTTTAATGTCATACACTGATCTTTCTGTGCAGCGTCGCTTCAATGGCTGTGTGTTTGTGGTGAGTATTTAAACTGTCCTCATTTGGCATTGTAATGACAGGTGTGTGTGATTTGTCCTTAGTGCTTAGCTTGCTGTTAACTTAGGGGCTGTTTACATGATACTTTTTTTTCATTTACATGACAACTTTTGAAAAAAGGGTTTTTGAAAAAAAACAAAAACAAATCGGTTTGACAACATTTTTCTGAATGCGAAAAACATAAAGGAAAACTTTTCCAATTTTTAGTACAGTTTTTGTGTAAATGGCCTCTTAAATACATTCCTTTCGTTTTACCAAGTTTCCTGTTACCCTTGTTTCCCTGTATCTCTGTGAGAGTCTGTTTGACTGATCTCCTGTAAACAAACCATACATTTAATTTAAGTTCCCATCATTGTGTTCAATTCATTGTTAAAGGTATTGTAGGTAGGAATTTTATAAAAAACTTTTTTCCAAATTTGTTTAAACTTTCTGTATATATCAATGCATAATTAAAATGTAAGTACTCTGAAAAAGAAAGTATAAAAATCAAGTGTCTGTAGACCTCTCACGACTGTTTTAAAGACAGCTCATTATTTCCATTCACTCCACCCCCTCCCTTCTGGGCTCCTTCCAAAGCCACGCCCCTAAAACACATGAACTCGCGACTCCGACCGCTGAGCTGAAGACGCATTATTTACCTGAGACGAGCGGAGAGGAAGGAGCGCAGTGCATGTAGTGACATCATGTCAGAATCACATGTAATAAAAAAATCTAACTTTATCATTATGAAGATAAACAAATAAGATGTATTTTAGTACTCACTATCAAGCTAGCATATTGATATTGGTAAAGTTTAAAATATATTTTGATTCGCTAACGAGCTAGTTATCTATAAGGCAAAGCTAAAAACAGGTTGCATGATACACGTTTTTCCATTGCCATCATTTACACTGTGATGAAGATGAATTTCGTGTAACATTCATAACATACCGTATATGGTGTTCTGCATGTAAGAGTTTCCATGATGAAAGCATTGTTGACTCTGATGAGGACTACACTCGAGACAAGTACCGCATCGTCAGCTCGAGGACAGATCCGGGGTCGAGGGCGAAGCAGAGGAGGGTCGTCACAAGGCGTCACTTTTCAGCCCCTTGAGGTCTCTCAGTTCTCGCCATCGCTGGAAAGCCACGCCGATATTGACACGTGTTTTATTTCGTTGTTTATCCAAAGACTTTTTGTTCATTACCTTTTCTAGTAACGTTACTGTCTTCCTTTTTTTGCCTGGTTAAGGTTTGCCTTCGCGAACTGCATATGTGAATTTTGATTGGTCTTTCTCTGCCATTGTTTTGCTATTCCTAGGTTCCGTGCCTCTTGAATTTCTCAAATCAAACGGATACGCGCAAGTGGGCAGGTCCTGTGTGGCAAAAGGGTGGTTGTCATGGTTGCGAGAGAGTGACAGTCGCATAAGCCAATACTTTGTTTCGTCCCGGAAGGAAATAATGAGCTGTGTATAGTGCAGATTAAACGGTCTAGAGTCACTCGATTTTTATACTCTTTTTATCAGAGTACTTACATTTTAATTATGCATTGATATATACAGAAAGTTTAAACAAATTTGGAAAAAAGTTTTTTTTATAAAATTCCTACCTACAATACCTTTAATTGTATTCACCTGTTTAATTTTCAAACCTATAAAACTCCCGCTCCTGGGTTCAACTGCATATTTGTGACTGTGTGCTCTTGACATCCGGAGTGCTATTTAAGTGCTTGTACCAACTGCTGATTGTAGTCTTTTTAACAAAATGATATGTGTCGTATTAAAGAATAAACCGTTTCTATAATCAGCATTTTAGGGAGATGAACGACTGTAAGTCTTTTTACTGATCTATCTGTCTGTCTGTCAAACTTAAAAGCAATTTGATCATACAAATCTGTCAATCCAGCATTATGGATAGATATTTCACAGCAAATCAGATGCTGCATTATTAGGCTTTTATTAGTGCATAATACACTTATGCAGATTTCACAAATAACTTGTTACAATGAAACATATTTCAATCCACTTAAGATACATACAGTATAGACAAAGTGCTTTGGTAAACGCAGCCAATAGTCAATTAAACCTATATTTTTCTTTCTATTAGGTGAACTGCATTTAGAATAAGAGCGGTTCTTGATATATATAGTAAGTTGTACGTTGATGCTCTATTATACCAGAATTTTCTTCTACAACACAATATGGTGTTTGTGTTGTTAAAGTCATTGATGACACTCCTTATCTGCGAGTCTCTTTGCCTTGTTCTGCAGGTAGCGTGCTTTTCCTTCTTCAAACCGTCTCTGCTCCTCTTCACCTTCCAACTGCAAGAAAATAAATGACATTTTACACCCAGTTGAATACTGTTGAATACTGTGATATGCTGGAAACGCTTCAATTTTAAAGGTCATACACATATCATGGAAAACCACTAAAGTGTTGAGAACATTATCAGAATATTTGAACACAAACACACACAGACACTTCCACATTTTTTGCTTCCCCACTTGAGCATGGAATGTCTGTCAACTGCAGTGAATGTTTGCAGATGTGAGTTATTGTAAAGTACAGAAGCTACTGTATACACAACTACACAATGAATTATTTGAATTTAAAGCACAAGAGAACTTTAATGGTGGAAACATGTCAAAAGATTGTCTTGGAATGTAGCATTGCCTAATTGTTACTGGGTGTACGGAAACTGTAAAAACATCAATATAAAATCTCATGCTATATCCAGTTAGTCCCCATATCTTGATTTTGTTTGAATATCTATCACCACCAAATATCTTGCATAATTGTTCTAAATGTGATGAAAGTGGTTTGAAATGTAATCAGAATTGAACTAACTGTTGGTAATTATTGTCAATTGTCTTTAAAAAATGTATATTATGATGAATCAAATGTCTACTGTACATTAGTTAACATGAACTACCAATGAGCTAGTATAGAATTTGTTAATCGTATTGTTAATCTCAACATTTACTAGTATCTTTTTCAATTAAAATTTGTATTAGTTTACTGTGAACTAACAAGTACAAGCAATGCACAATTGTATTTTTATAAACAGATTAATAATGCTGTGAAAATATAATGCTTATTTTTGAGTTTATTTTGAGTGCTAGCTACATTATTACATGAGCGAATTTCTTGGAGATCTAAAACAAGACAATAGATGTTTGTTTTTTGGACCACAGCTTCATCATGGACAAACAACAATACTGTGTGAGAGAGCAGGATGTCAGTTGACGTTAGGCTTCAACTTGCAGCTGCACACTACACCATGGCTATTCTTATCATTGGCTATAGGTCACCAGCTAGTCATGCGCGGCAGTGGCAGATGGCGGCCAACCTTAGGGAACAAACTGTGCAATGACTGAAGCAGCCTGGCTGATGAGGGCATGTGCACAAATGAGGATCGGAGATATAGAATGCATATCCACAGCAATGTTATATAAGCACAAGCTAAGCACATACACTATACTTCACAGGGGTACTGATATTGAGGCTCAGAAAAGTTCATTTTATGGTGACCCAGTTTAATGGAGAACATATGAATTATTGCTTCTTTTTTTTTTAAAGTGGCGTGCAGTTGATCGATTAAAGCAGTAAGACACTTGAGGCTGTGCCTTACAGTGATTTTACCATGGCTAAAGGGTGTTATGCAGAACAGAACAGGGTAAAAAGGATTAACTATTATTATGATTAATGGCAATTTGAAAAAGACACCAGGAATAGTTACATTTCTTAACAATAACTATTGGAATAAACAATTCTTCCACAATGTCATATAGTTAATTAGTGTAAAATGAGGATGTTTTTAGTTGCCAAGCAACATGCATCTCACTGCATTCATACATAATGTGTCTTCATAGAGGTGTATTTATCACCCTTTTACAACAGTTTTAAACATGGCTCATCCAACCAGTGGGAACTATCCTTTTCATAATTCCTCTTTAATCACTGTAAATTCATCAGTGAATGTGTGAACAACAAAAACATGGACATTCTGAGAATGGTTAAATGGGTTAATAAATGTGACTACATTAATATAGAATTTTTGTTGTTTTTCAAATTGCTTCTCAGGTTCTCTATGCACAATATGTATATAATGTAGAGTCAGAAGATGCTTATCACAATATAATCCCCAACAGAGTGATCAGGACCCCAATGCAAAGCTACTTAAAACAATTTTGTTAGCTTACTTTTACATTATGTAGACAAATGTTATAAAGATTAGATGCCTTGGACACTGGTCAATTCATTACAGAAATATACTGCATTTGACTTGATTGGCTGACAAAAATGAAATATTTTATAAAGCTGTGTATATTTAATAAAATGGTATAATTCTATAATTAATGAAACTTGCCTCTTGCAACAAAAGCAAAACAGAAAAGCCCTCCCCGTTATTTCTGTCTGAAAACAACATCATGTGACCTTGAAGGAAGTCCTGGCTGGGTCAGTGACTGTCCTGTTGCTCAGGGCTTGTGATGAGGCCAAGAAAAGACACGGGGCCATGGCAGCAGTGCTTGTCTTGAACAAATTAAATTAAGCTGGAGGGATGCTCAGTGCTGCAGTCACAGAGAGAGTGACTGGCAGAAGACCAGAGTGATTGCTTCAGCAGAAACCACCAGAGTGTAAAACATCATACAATTTAGTGTTAAAGAAAAAAAAACAGTAGTAGTTAAATGGAAACTGCAAATGGAAATAGCCCTATATGTGTAAGAGACTGGAATTGTTGTCAAGTATAGGCCTCTACACAAATAGATGAATGCAGATACTTCCAGATATGAAAGCTTGAGTTCACATGTGTCAGAGAATATACAGCAACACAGGTAATGTCGTGTAATGTCATGGTGAATTTTATTTTTAACCCCTAAGGATGTTAATTAAACTTTTGAAATTATTATAGCTAGCTACCTAACAGAAGATATCACTATTGACCTTCTTAAGAACTGGGGTTTCTTCTGCCAAAGTATCAGAAAAAAAAAAAACACATTATATATTAGGGCTGTGTTGAAAAAATCGATTCACCAATTCTGAATCGATTTTCATATTAATTTCTAAAGATCGATCCGTAACTCAGAGGATCGATTTAATAATAGGCCTACATGTGCGCACGCGCGATCGTGACTCGTGAGTGAAGCCCCGTTGAGTGTGTGTGTGTGCGCGCTCGAGTGAGTGAGCCAGTGTGCGTCACGAAGCTCAATGCAACTACAACATAGACTGTAAAAAAGATGGATGACGCCCCTTCGCTCTTTTCCATTGGAGAGAACTGAAGCCGCCAATGTCCCGATATGGCGCTGACATCTTGGGACTTGAGTCTGCGCACTTGCGTTTTCGGGACCAGACATGCGCAGTCGTGAGCAGGAAGTAAAGCCGTGAAATCAAGGCCCCGCCCTCACTCTTGCTGAATAGATCGCAAGCACACGCCCCTGCACTTTTCTTAAGTGGCCTCTGTCTGCTCCATTCCTCTCCAATGATGTCTGCTGATTGCAGTACCTCGTTAAAATAAGGTAATACAACTACTAACCACATAGTCAACATTATGAAAAAAAGTCCGTTGGTGCTTCAGTGACTACTTCGCACAGAGAAGCTGTCAATCACAGCTGTCAATCAAGATGTCACAGCCCTGTTTTTATAGCATCAAATAACTAACTAAAAACAAACTTATTTTAACCCTCTGGGGTCTGCAATCACGCCGGCGTGATCTGCTCGCTTTTTTTCTTATCAGTGCAAAAGAGACTCAAATAACTCAGTCGATTTTTGTCATACAGGCAAATGTTATACATCAATCGATCCTGTTAAGTTTCTATTTTTTTTGTGGATGCTCACAATAAAAACAAAGTGTTGTGCTTTTCACCAAATAAAGAAAAACAAACATGATGCGAGTTCTGCGTTCTCTCTGTCAGTGAAGTCCATTCTGAAACGCGTCCTAAGATTAACTGTAACTCCGCGATTACTTGTCATACAGGCACGAGAGATTTTTCTTTATGAAGCTTGAATTCTCTTCTTTTAAATGAAGTAATTTATATAAAAAACAAATATTCTCAGTTTATGCAATCTGTATGAAAAGAGAGTGCTGTCAGTATTTTTTTCCCCAGCTCATTACACTTCATTACGCGTTAATCTGACACGCCCACGGAGGACGCGCGCTATTCAAACGCAAATGTCGGCAAGCCATGACAATGCCCACATCAGCCGTTCCACCGCGGCGGTAAAATGTGTGGTGTATTTGCTGCCTTTTACCGCTAAGAGGCGCTACAATCATAGACTATGAAAAGTGTTCGTTTATTCCGGTTTATTCTCTCTAATGCGTAATCTGCTGCCGCACCGCGCTGATTCAGAGCGATTGAAAGCTGGTAGCAGAAGAATTCAACAAGTGAAATGTGGTTAAAATAATTTTATAATCACAATACTGAAATTAGGCTACTGAAATGTAATTGAATAAATAATGAAAACATTTCAACATAAAACATTGCAATAAAAACATTTAGGCTACATCAGTGAGGCTTTACAATTTAAACAGCGTACAGACGATAGCTCAGTGGTTAAGGCAACAACACGAGTTTCGAGGAGCTTCAATCGACCCGAGATCGAATCTTAATGTAGCATACATGTTGTTAACCGATGTTGGCCTACAGCGTTTATATTTTACCACCTTGATGCTTAAATAGCTAACTGTTTATAACTGTTTACTTATTTAAAGTCAAGAGTTTTGTTTAATTATCATTACAACATAAATTTGCTACATTCCTGTAGAACCACAGCCGCTGCACAAAGGACATAAACTGATGAAGGAAGATTGTCAGCCGATTGCATCTGAAAATGAAAATGAAGAAGCTCGTCTTTAGTCTGCTAAATTATTGTGTAATGTAAAAGAACACTAAAATTACTTAAGTTTGAAACCAAGTTCGAACATTTCAAGGTTTAAATAAAGTGTCGGGACAGTTTTTTTTTATTTAAAACAGGGTTGCATCGGGTTTAGAGTTTATTTCTTTTGCGATGCAAAATAAGAAACACTAGGCTAATCTTATTATTGCGACATTTTAAATTTGTATTGCCAAAGAAATTACAGCTAAATTAAACAATTAAAACAGTACAAAACGAAAATTGTCCAAAGAAACATAATTAAATTAAAAACATGCGTTTTTCTTTGCCTCTCTCGCGCTGGAACTCTTTTTAACAAATGTATTTAGTCTCCCTCGCTGCGCATGCATGATATGATCAATGCATGATAATTATTTAGCCTTTAATTGTTGCTTCAAAGACACAGCATGCCTTGTTGAATTCACCTTACAATAACTTCAATTGAAATTTT